ATGTACCCCTATGTTCATAGCAGCACATTTTACAATAGCTGAAATTTTGGAAACAGCCTAAGTGCCCATCAGCAGATGAGTGGAATAAAAAACAGTGGTACATCTATACAATGGAATACTATGCTGCTATTAAAAAGAAGGAACTTTTACCATTTGCAACAGCATGGAGGAACCCGGAGAGGAGAGTGTCATGCTAAGTGAAATAAGTCAGAGAAAGACAAGTATTACACAATCACACTCATAATGTAGAATCTAAGTAACGAAATAAACAGATGAACAGAGTGGATCCAAAAACATGGAGCATGGAACAGAGTGCAGAATCACACAGGGAAGGTGGGGGAGGGTCGGTGGGTAGGAGGTAATCAACCAAAAATTTTGTATGCATATATGCATAACCCGTGGACACAGACAATAAGGTGCTGAAGGCCTGGGTTGGGTTGGGTCCTGGAGGGGATCAGTGGGGGGAAAAGGGGACATATGTAATACTTTCAGCAACAAAGAATTATTTAAAAAACATAAAGATAGGCTTGACTGCAAAAATATGCTTATGAATATGTTTCTTTTAATATGAAAAAATAAAATATATAGTGTAGCCAGGATTGTTAAATGGTTCAAAATTCCACTTTTTCTCTGAATACATTTTTGGAAGCTACTGGTTGGTAAGAATCACGTTGATGTGTAATTCATAAAAACTGGCTTAAATGAAATTGTACCACATATATTTTTATATTTTCAGGGACTTTAAAATTAGTTTTACATATTCATTTATTTTTAAAAATCAGAGGGTAGTAATAGAATATGAGTCCAATTACAGGAATTTAATTTGGCCTAGTTCCCCAGATTTCTAAGTTCTGGGTGGGCTTTTGTTGTTGCTTTTATAGAATTGAATTGCCACTTTACTCTGTCATGGAAAAACTTGCTAACAGTGTATGGGAGTTTGTAGTTACTAAACATAAAAGGATATTAAAGACTAGAGGGCTGTTGCATGAAGATTCATACAAGAATATGCTTTCCTTTCCCCTGGCTTTGCTCCCAGTCGCTCGGGAGCCTGCAAGTCCTTGTTCCCTGGCCACCTGGGAGCTGGTAAGTCCTCGCTCCTGGCCAGAGCACCACTCCTGTAGCTCCCTCTGCCCCCCTCTCTCCCTCATAGCAGGCATCCCGCCCTGCCCGGCCTCTCTGAGACTGTATATGCAAATTAACCTGCCATCTTTGTCTGGTTAATTTGCATACTCACTTGTGATTGGCTGTAGGCATAGTGGAGGTACAGTCAATTTACATGTTTATCTATTATTAGGTAAGATATCCAGGTGACATTATCATTTACATGGCACATGATATGGGAGACCTGTTAGTGTTAGAAATTAGTTTCATATATTTTCACTGGAAATGATTTGTAAAAAGAGTGACTAACTGCATCAACAAATGATAGTTACATGCCATTTTTAAGTGAATGACAACAAGCCTTACTCTCAGGTTATTGATATTTTGATTATTATATTTTCAGGCAGATCTTTGAGATATAACATTCAGAAGTTTACTGTTTCTTTATAGATATTCATGTATTTTTGAGACTAACTTTAGCTTAGCTTTTCCCCTGATTTTAATTTCCAAATTTTTCATTTCAAGCTTGAGAAAATTTTGAGTTTTCTTTTTAAAATATATTACTACACATAATTCTGTGTCATTTCAAAGAATGATTTCATGGCATTTTGCTTTAAATGATCAGTCTTCCCAGTTATATCTTTAGCAAGTGAAATATGCTTTCTATTTTATAGTTACTTTTTATGCAAATATCACTTTCCAGTTGCTTTACATTTTAAATTTAATTGTACCAGAATCAATATGCTAATCAGTTTTCTGAGCAGCAATTTTAGGGTTCTTAAAATTTTAATGTAAGTCTCTAAAATTAAACATTTAAAACTTTACTGTTTATGCAGTAAGTTACTGAAATCTAATTATGTTCTAAGCACTAAAGATAAAAGAGTGAGAAAAACAGACAAGTTCTCTGACGTCATGGCATTTGCATTCTGGCATGGGGCCACAAATGATAAGTAGAAAAGCAAATGGCATGGAAAAAGGTTCCAGCCACACTGCAGTGGAGTCCTGGTTTCTGCTCAAACTTCCAGGCCAGGAACTGACAGGCTGCACTGATCTGCTCTTCTCCAGATAACCAAGAAAGAGTGATGGGGCAGGGCAGGCACAGATGGATACACTAGATTATCCTCTTGGAAAGAAACCATTCTGCAGCTGTCCACACATTGTGGGACTCCATAGGATCCCCTGCTGAGCATGTAACAATGAGGGCTTTGCAGTCATGAGAATCTCACCTGGACATCTTTTGAGAAGTCAGAAGGAGCTATTTGTCCCAGCTAGCTCTTGCAGGCATCTTTGAGAGCTCCAGCAGGGGTCAGGGGTCATTCAGTGGACAAATCTATTTGCCTTTCTTCCATTTGCCCCCAGGAATCTGAGCATAAGGCTTTCTATAAGTGACAGGAATTAATGGGCTTCTCCGTATTTTAAAAAATAGAAGAAATAGAGAATTGTTCATTCATTGACCTCCTTCACCTGCTTCCCAAGGTTGGACATATTCATTTCTCGACGCTCAGGACCTGTCAACCTCAGGGATGAACCAGGTTGTCCTTTTCCCAGAGTAATACACTCCTCAAAGACCTGGGATTCATTCTTTTACTATCATAAGAAACTTTCAGGGGCGAAGCAGGATGGCTGTAGAATTGTCCAACAAAAAGTTAGTGATTACGGTCCTACTCATCCAGGTTGTCTAAGAAGCATCAGCAGTGGTCACAGTGAGCGAACCTGACCATCACCATGTTGGTGCACTTTTGCCAGACCCAAAGGTACAGCAGCCACAGTCTAACCAGATAGGCCTCTCAGAAATCCCCAGGAGACCTATCTCTAGGGGAAGACCTTTCTCCAGGGGGAATTGCTCATTCCCGCAGATTAATAGCTACTGGGGTTTCTCTTGCTATTACTACTTGTGTTACTACCCATTCCCAACAGATCTCTTAGGTCCATTCTGGGTCTTTGCATCAACTCATCAGTTCTATTTTGTTTGCTTGTTTCCAAGCCTCATAGTTACTTTACTATTGTTTTATGCAATCAGAGTTCATGTAAATAGGTAACATAGCTTCTGTAATAATAAAAGGGTAATATGCTAATTGGACTGGATGTCCTTCTGGAAGTCATTCCGGACGAAGCCGAGGGCAGAGGGAAGCCAACCCAGGTCCCAGGTGCCTGCAGGCAACCCAAGGGAAGCCAGCCTGGGTCCCAGGTGGTGGAGGGAAGCCAGTACCGGCAGCCAGGGGAAGGAAGGTCTACTCTTGCACGAATTTTCAGGCCTCTAGTAAATGTAATAGTAGGATTCTAATGGACATACTGGGTGATTCTGGGGAGGCTTTAGAGAAGATAGAGCATTTAAGGTAAGGCTTGAAGGGCAGAGAAGCAGGGAAGAAAGATATTTTTGGCCATAGTGTCATGGAAGAATAAAACATTTTCAAGTGTGTTCAGGAAATGACGAGAAGTTTTGTGTGGTAGGAGTGTGTAAGAATAGTATAAGAATACTTAGGAAAGGAGTGTTGAAACAGGTGTCTCAATCTTATATAATGCATTACCTGACCTATTTAAAGATGACCTACTCATGTTCGTAATTTAAAAGTCTCTTATAATAACTCCTATTTATTTCATATTGAACTAGAGGCATGGTACACAAAATTTATGCATGGGGATGTGTGTCCCTCAGCCCAGCCTGCACCCTCTTCAATCTTTAGGATTGGGCCTAAACAGGCAGTCGGACATCCCTCTCACAATCCAGGACTGCTGGCTCCCAACTGCTAACCTGCCTGCCTTACTGATTGCCCCTAACTGCTTCTGCCTCCAGCTTGATCACCCCCTAACCACTCCCCTGCCAGCCTGATTGATGTCTAACTGCTCCCCTGTTTTCCCCCAACTTCCCTCCTCTGCCAGCCTGGTCACCCCTAACTGCCCTCCCCTGCAGGCTTGATCTCTCCCAACTGCCCTCCCTTGCAGGCCTGGTCCCTCCCAACTGCTCTCCTTTGTTGACCTCATCACCCACAACTGCCCTCCCCTGCTGGCCATCTTGTGGTGGCCATCTTGTATCCACAAGGGGCAGGATCTTTGACCACATGGGAGCAGCCATCTTGTGTGTTGGAGTAATGGTCAGTTTGCATATCACTCTTTTATTAGATAGGATATAGGCCTGGTAAATGGGGGTCAGCTGGTTTGCCCTGTGGGGTGTTCCAGATCAGGGTGGGGGTTCCTTTGGGGTGTGGGGCGGCCTGGCTGAGGGACCTGTGGTGGTTTGCAGGTCGGCCACACACCCTGGCGACCCAAGTGGAGGCCTTAGTATCTGGGATTTATTTATTTTTTACAATTGAAACTTTGTAGCCTAGAGTGGAGCCAAGCCTCCTGCTTGCTTCATGGCGGCAGCCATTTCTGTTGGGATTTATTTATCTTCTATAATTGAAACTTTGTAGTGTTAAGCGGAAGCCTGGGCCAGCCAAGGTGTATGGAAAGCTTGGCTTTCTCCATCGCCAGGGAAACCCAAGTCTCCCTCCTGCTCTCTCACTGCCCATAGCCATTTGGGTTGATTAATTTGCATACTCGCTCTGTATTGGCTGATGGACATGGCTTGTGAGCATGGCTTGTGGGTGTGCACAGTGATGGTAAATTTGCATATTACTCTTTTATTAGATAGGTTGATATTAATAATGATATTTATATCTGCATTTGCATGTTTTCAACTCATTTTCTCCTTTTACCTAATTTCATCTTAACAATATGTTAGTGACTCAGATCTGAAAATGTTATAGTAACTAGGTATTGAAAGCTTACATGGTTTACTCACAGCCAAATGGCTATGTTTATAGTATCACCAGATATTCTGATTCTTAATTCCATACACTTGAATGTTATTTTTGTAAATATATACTTTTTCTCCTTAAGTTATTCTCTTTTCTCCACAGGACTTGGCTTTTACCCTGGAAGAAAGACAACAATTGAATATTCATGGATTATTGCCACCTTGTTTCATCAGTCAGGATATCCAGGTTCTTAGAGTACTTAAAAATTGTGAGCGTCTGAACTCTGACTTTGACAGGTAACACATTTTATATTTCTCTTAGACAGTTGTTTATCTTATTTTTTATTAGATGAGAAAGTTAAAATAATTAGTGATTTGGAAAAAGTAGTCAACTTTGAGGAGAATTTGCCTATAATACAATGATATTTTTTAAAAGTTACCCTTTTTAAGAACATTTGAATAAAATTTTTCTTTCTAAACTGTTATCCTCAGAGAGATTACTTTGCTCTTGTGATAAAATTGTTGCTATAAAAATGAGTTATCTGGAAATGCCATCCTGGACAAAGCAAAACAGGTTAAAGTGGTTTTTAGTCAGACTATGAGTGCATATTGGGTGCACTTTTTCAACTTCTAAACCTGGTTCTAATGCTATTGTGAATTTAGGTCACTTACTGTGTTTAGAATTCAGTTTCCATGTTTGCACAGAGATAAAGGTAACGTGTGCCCTACCTCTGTAATGAGATAGCCCTAGTTTGAAATTCTGACTGTGTTTCACTAGCACTGGGGCCTCGAACAAACCACCACAATCTCTGTCAGGACCACACTGTATGCCTTGTCCTCTGCTTTGGACTCTTCCCTTATGGAGGCACTAAACCTCAGGTTTTTCATTTATGGATTGAAGAGAATAGTTATTTCAATATATCAATATTATTGTGATATTTAGAAAAGGTAGCTAACCCAATACCTAGTAAGTATTTGTATTAGGGTTTTCTAGCGGTCTTCAGAGAAACAGAAGCAACAGGATATATTTGTTGTGTGTACACACACACACACACACACACACACACACACACACATCACATCCTGTTGGATGGAGATATATATTTATTTCAAGGGATTGGCTCCCGTGATTGTGAAGCCTGGTTAAGTCCTAAGTCTGCAGGTAGACTGGCAGCTGGAGAACAAGAAAAGACTTGCAGTCTAAAGGCAGACTCCTTGCAGAATTCCTTTTTGCTAAAGAGAATACTACTATTAATAATGGACTAGCAGTCCAAATCCCCTTTGGTAGGCAGGATCAGTCATCCTAGCCAGCTCGGTAACTTCTTTCTTTGCTTATTGATTCAGAGGCATGTGGTGTCCATAGTGGCTTGTGGCTATCTTAATTTTCAGTCTAATGGAATTGTCTCTTGGTGGAAACATTCCTCCTTTTGAAACTAAGACTTATTGGTCAGCAGAGCATAATGTCATGGGGACAAGAAGCAGAAATTTTGCTAGTGGGTCATGGTGGTAATAGTGAGTGGTGCCACTTACATTTTTCCTGGGTCCGTAGACCTGTGAATCCTGGTTATGGGCGAAATAGCATCATGCTGGACATGGATTCACATCATACATAGCCTCCTAGGAAACTTTGCCTCAGCTTTGCAAGTGTTACCACCTAGCTGGTGTTGTTACTGAGCTTCTGAAGGCCATTACACCATTCTGTTAAGTCAGCTGCTTTACCATGGTGGGGAAACATAGAAAGACTAATGAATTTCATGAATATGGGCCCAGTGCCATGCTGCATTTGCTCTAAAGTGAGTCCCAAGAAGCAATGCCTGTGGAATACCATGATAGAGGATAAGGCCTTCTGTAAGTCCAAAGATGGTAGTTTTGGCTGAAGCATTGTGTGTAGGGAAGGCAAATCTGTATCCAGAGTAAGTGTCAGTTCCAATAACAACAGCACTGCCTCTTCCATGATGGAAGCAGTCCAATGTAATCACCTGCCACCGGGTGGCTTGCTGATCACCCCAAGGCACCCTGAGGCATGCGAAGTTGGCCAATGGCAGATTGGGCACTCAGGAGAGTCTTGGTGACTGGAAGATTGGGCACTCAGATCAGCCTTGGTGACTGGAAGTCCATATTGCTGAGCCCGTGATGACCTCCATTTCTGCCACGCCCACTGTTTTCCTGAGCCCAGGGTTGGTGTCGGGCAGCTGGAGAAAGAGATTAACTCAGCTTGTCAATTTGTGTATTTCTGCTTCTTCTTAAACCTCTCTACAGTCGCTTTCACTTGTTACTTAAGTTCTTCCTTCAGCTTATTTTTCATTTTATATTCTTTTTCTGGTTCGAGGATCAGTAGGGATACCTGTGTCAGGAGTAGAATGAGTGAGGGGAAGAATGGTAGGTTGGGAAAGGAAATTATCAAGGTAATAGAGGATAGATTATTTGAAGGCCAATAAAGGACTTTTGCTATTAATCCAAGTGAAAAGGGAAGCCTTTCAAGGTTTTGAACAGGAAATCAATATGATCTGAGCTACATTTCAAGAAGAGAATGGCTGCAATATTGAGAATAGAATATAGGCTGGAAGAATCTTTAGGAGACTATTATAATAATCCAAGCAAAAGATGATGGTGATTTAGACCCAGGATGGTAGCAGTGAAGGTGTTTAGATTTTGGATATATATTGAAAGAAAAGCCTAATGTATTAGAGATAAGTGTTAGAGACCTTGCAGAGAGGAGAAAACAGCAAAAAGAAATAATAAAGAAATTGCAAAGAAATAGGAAACTAGTGAAGTTGAAAGAAAATGAAGAGAATATGATGTCCTAGAAGTCAAGTAAAGAGAGTTTACTGATTTATAGGGATTGCCACTTGAGTCAAATGTTCTGATAAAATGAGGTCTGAGGGTTGATCATTGATTTAGCAACGAGGACTTACACATTTGCTAAATCAGTTTTAGCATGTCTAAAAGTCATCATCTTCTTCCTAAATTTTAATTTTTTGGGTTAGCATTAACCTATCTGTTTGCCCAGCATTAGAATCTTGTATGTCTGACACCAAATGCTACATATTTTCAACTACTTCAGGGAATGGAAATCAATCCAAAAAGGCTAGTAAGATTGTTAAATACAATCTTAAAATATTATTTTAAATTATACCAAGCAATTTGAGTTTTATTTTACAAACCATTGAAGGCTAGATGTAACGTTATAATTTGATGCCTAGAAAGATAAGTCTGGGTCAAAAATATCTCTAGAAAGAAAAAAGCTATTTGTTACAAATAATAAGAAAAGTCCCTTAAATTTTCTTGCTACCTTAGTAATTTTTAGGGTTGGTGATATATTCTTTACTCATTTTTTCATTTGTTATTTTCTTTGGTTATTCAGCACTGAAAGTTAAAGGATAAAGTCTTTGTATTTACTTAAAATTAATATTATGTGTATATTTATATTTTCATCATTAAATTCATATTTTCATCATTCTTTCATTTTAAAATAGGGGTAAAGTCATTTAAAATATTAAGTAAAACTTCTATTTTAGCAATTACTTTAATATTTGAATGACACTCACTGAAGTTTATGGTTCTTCATTCTTTGAGGTATTTAAGAATATATCTAAAGTGTTTTTGATCAGATGTTTCCTGTGTGACCTAAAAAGTCCTTTATACTTTGTTGAAAAATGTTTACTGGTAATAAGATTTCTAAGCAGCTATTTCATGGCTTTGTTAGAATATAGACCTCATTTTGTCCATTTTCCACAGGTATCTTCTCTTAATGGATCTTCAAGACAGAAACGAAAAGCTCTTTTATCGAGTGCTTATGTCTGACATTGAGAAGTTCATGCCTATTGTTTATACCCCCACTGTGGGTCTGGCTTGCCAGCAATATAGTTTAGTTTTTCTGAAACCAAGGTATGTAAACTTTTATCTTAAATACAACTCATGTCCTTATTTTTTAAATAAAAGTTTTGCAATAAAATATTGAATGGAATTGAACTTGGAAAAATCTAAATCAAATTTTATTTAAAAGAACATTAAATATAAATATATATAACATTAAAAGCATAGTATTTTCTTTCTAGATTTAAGATAAGGGGAAAGTATTTCTAAACCAATTTAGGTTTCCTTTTACAGAGAGTAAATGAACGTGTGTTGTTTTTTTTTTTTTGTTTGTTTTTTTTGTGTGTGTGTGTGTGTTTTTAAAAATATATATTTTATTGATTTTTTACAGAGAGGAAGAGTGAGGGATAGAGAGTTAGAAACATAGATGTGAAACATCGATCAGCTGCCTCTTACACACCCCCTACTGGGGATGTGCCCGCAACCAAGGTACATGCCCTTGACCGGAATGGAACCGGGACCTTTCAGTCCCCAAGCCGACGCTCTATTCACTGAGCCAAACCGGTTCCAGGCATTGTATTATTCTTTTAATTTTCCACAGTATTATGGCAGTTTCTGTCATGTTTATTTTTAATGTTTATATTTTGTTAAACTTTTGATTATTTTGAAGTTGTTAATAAAATAGTCCTCATAGCTTCTCCCGTAATTATAAAAAGAGAACTTTTTTTGAAAACATATTATGTAGCATAAATTTAGACATTGTATTTAATTGGAAAGGAAATGGTGATTGTGTTTGAATAATGATGGATCTTTCAGGCAGTAGTTAGCATACATTCTATTTTTTTTAAAGCCAAAATTGACAAACGTCTATTAAACCTTTCCTGCTGCAGTAGAGGGTATTCTAAGGCATTCAGAAAGTGAACAGGAGGATTATACCTGTTATTATATTTACTTAGTGAATTTGGTGGTAGCAGTTAGGAACATGTTATGAGAAAGTTAAGGGTTAATATTACAAGTACTGAGTGTAATACAGTTGGATAGCTTAACTATATTTTACTTACTATGACTAGTTGTTTATTTTCATTTTGAATATGGCATTAAAATCTGGTTAGATATCAAAAGATAAATCCTTATAAGAATGTTTCTACATCCAGTATATTTTTTTCTTAAGGTAAGATGCTGGAATATCCATTTATTGTTTTTGTGTGGGATTTCTTTTCTTTTTTTTTCTTTTTTTGGCACAATTTGTGTGGGTTTTTCAAGCATGCATGGGTAATCCTGTTTAAGAATGATGTTGAGCTTGCTTGGATTACCTCCTCCAAGTATGTCTATAACATTTGGATTTTTGCAGATCCAATACTTGGTAATGGAATATGCTTGTCTAATTGTGGCTAATTTGTTGATAGAGATGTAACTTTTGGAAGTTAGAAACAATTCATTTTGTACTTTTGCAGAATGCTAAGTTTAGTGTGTTAAATTATTTGTATTCTGTCAGTCTTTTTTTTTTTTTTTTTTTTTTTTTTTTTTTTTTTTTTAAAGAAATGCTTTTAAAGCAGACTTACATAATATATTTGGAAGTATTTTTACCTGGTATATTTTAGACTGCATTTTCCAAGAATCATCTCCTTTTCTTATTCATTCTTATTAGCTACATACTATTTTATCATGCCTTTGGCAATTAAGCATGTTCCTATTTTTCACATTTCTGATGTTCTATCAGTTTGTAAGCATCTAGAGAGAAGGGATTGTATTTTTTAAATTATATTTATACTTCTCATTTTATTTAGGCTTAGTACCTAGTTGGTGCTGAATTAATATGTGCTTTTTGCTGCTTCTTAGTAGAATTTAATATTACTGTATTCATTTGCTCACATAGAAAACTTCTCATAAATAATAGATCTGAAAAAAATACTCCAAGGAATCAGGCTATGAGGAAGTAGAATTTCAATGAAATATAGATAATATATCTTGAAATACACATACTCCTTTCAATTACTAATTTTATACAGTAATTCACTGATATGATTTTGGCAAAAAGGATGAGCAAATAAAATTTTGTTGATTACAGTTCTTAAAAAAGCATTTATGAAGCATTTATAACTAGTACCATTGGTTGGCTTTCCAAATGTTATGGTGAAAAAAGTGTTCAATGCTCAAGTTAATTGTGGAAAATTTGAATTAACTAAAATTAAATAGGATTGTTTATTGTAAGATTTCACAGAATAATGTTTATTTCGCACATTTTTGGAGGATGTGGATTTGATTTTGTCATAGATACTTGCATGATTCTTGGCATACAGTAGCTATTCCCAGATAGTAATTATTACATCTGGTATTGTAGCTCCCAGGTTTCTTCATGACTAAATGGATGAGGGTACCGTTTACCAAGTTTCAGAATACTGGAATATGTTTGTAAGGGAATAGAAAGTTCTTTTGGGGACATGCTGAGATTCAAATATATTTGGGTCTTCCAAGTACAGATGTCTAGTAGGCATTTAAATATGTGACCTGGAATTTAGTAGATATTGTGTAGAAAGCTCTTAGTATTTTAAGTACCATTATATATGCCACATAAATGGTACCTGTTTTGATATTGACAGTGCTGAAGATTAACAACAAGATTAATTGTTAAAGTGAATCATTCACTAAGATGTTTTAATTTTTAGTTTTATTTTTTCCTAGAACATTCTTAAGCAAATGCATAAAAGTTTTATTTTTTCCTAGAATGTTCTTAAGGAAATGCAACATTAAGATGAACCAAAACAAAATATCAAAGTAGTGTTTCTACATTTGTTATTTGTTTTCTTTGGAATTCCAAAAAGGACTTGAAGTAGAGTATTCGTTATTTAATTTGTGAGGACTATTTTTTTTTTTATTATTATTCCATGTGCAGTTTCATGTGAGAACGTAATATAGAAATGGTCATAACCATGACCATGATTAGACCACAATTAGAATTGGAGATTGTTTACTTATACAGAAACATGCAGTTTCTCAGAGAAACAACAGTTCAAAAGATTTTGTAGTCTCATACAGTGAGGGTGTCAATTTTACCTGATTTTGGCTTATGAAATAGCAGTAAGAAAAGACGTTTAAAAAGTAAATGTAAAAGAAACCTACCCAAAATTATTATCCTTTAATCCAAGAATGTTCTTATCATTTAGAACGGAGTATAATAACCATCAAATGAACAGTTAGTAGAATAAGAACTTCCAAATTCTTGTTCAGTACATTTCTCACTTTAAATCTAGCTGATTTTCTTAAACATGGCCTATTTTTATGATGCTCAATAAAGCATGTGATGGCAGTTTTTAGTTTTATTAAGCTCTAAGTATTTCAGTAACTCAGTAATTGATTATAAAGAATTTAAGTTGTTCATGGCAAAGAAACATGGTTTCACAGCCAGTTTTTATAGCTGCAAATTAAATAATTTAACCCTTGAAATAAGGCTGTGGCACTGTCAGTAGTTTAGTGTTGTCTCGTTGTTACTGGACCATGGTGATGTAACCTGCCAAGTTATGCAGTGCCCTTATGTTAGTCGACATCTCTCGCTGTCCTAGGTCATCTTGCTCTTGAAGTTTCTAGGTAGGGGATGAGGAGGATCTAAGCTAGGTGAACCAGGACTGTTTTTTCAGTTAAATTTATTGGGGATAACATCTATAATAATAAAAGCGTAATATGCTAAATAGACTGGGCATCCTTCCGGACAGAGCCACAGCAGGCGAGGACTGTGGCAGAGGCATCAGAGGCCTCCTCGTCACAGTGGCAGCAGCACCAGTGGGCGGGAGCCAGGACCAAGGCCCTTGCATGAATTTTGTGCATCGGGCCTCTTGTTCGTTAATAAAAGTATAAGTTTCAAGTCCATGTGTATGATCCATCATTTGTAAGTTGTATTGCATGCCCACCATCCAAGTCAAATCTTTTTCTGTCATCATATATTTTGACACTCTTTACTTTCACTACCCCCCCACCCCCTTTCCTCTAAACCAAGACTATTCTTGCTTGGATTTGGCATTCTTCAGTTAAATCACTTAAAAATATTTAGAAATACTTAGGAGACTTTTGTGAACCATGGACTATTTTTAGCTTATAGCTGTGGTTTAGTTTGTAATTTTATTTTTTATTTTACTGTAATTTTCTATATCTTTAGAATTTTAAATAGTTGATATTTAAGAGAGCAACTAATTTTTTAGTGCTTCTAGAAAAAAGATCATTTTTACCATTTACCTATAGCAGTAAGTCTTTCATTTTGATTATATTTATTAAAAATATTATTTTGTTCCATTATTTCATTTCCCTTGAAATTGGCCTAATATTTTTACCTATGCTCTTTTAAAGTATGAGAAAAAGCACATGGTAGATTATTTTTCTCAAAGATATGAAACAAGTTAAATGGAATGTCTGGACTAGTTGAAGTCTCTTAACTGTTTCCTCAATTGATTTTTTTAAGAGATACTTATTTGAAAATAGTTGATTTTAGTTTAATATGGAGATTTAAATGATTTTGTGAACTACTAATTAATTCAAATTAACAATATTTTCTGATCAGACTAAATACGCTATTTATGAAAATGTTTAAGTGACTTTCCTTAAGTAAGTGAGGTAGAGTATCCTCAGTCTTACGTACTGGAAATTCACTGTGTTTCCAGAAGTAGTTTAAAATGCCAGCTATCTTCTTTCCTAAGTATTACTTTAATTAGGAAACATTTGGAGAATGGAAAAAATGTAGGCATGATTCAAACAGTAATTCTTCACATCAAGATCTAAAGATGGTCTATACATATGCATAGACAAATTTCTTTAGCAAGGCAGTGAAACTTATCTTTTATAGTAAAAGGCCCTAAAGTACAAAGTAACAGTTCATCTTGAGACTTTAAGTATGGAAAACTTAAATGGAAATTCAAGTTTGGGATCCAAAAATAACTGCCACAGTCTGTGTGGCACACCCAAGTGTTTTGATTGAAGTTTAGTTTACACATAGCATATGGAGAATTAAGAAAGATTGCCAAGTTTTATCTCAGGTAGTATTTATGACAGTGTATTAACTTGGGTGTTTTTATATATTTTTAAGA